CCCTAAAAATAAATAATAATAATAATAATAATAATAATAATAATAATAATATTAATAATAAAAACCACCAGGTCAAGCAACATCGCACGCTTTTATCACAAAATACCATCGGGATAATGAAGTTTAGAGTTTTCCAGACGTGCATGAACCTGGGTCTTGATGGACGGTAGTGCAGCGTGGCATCCTCCTGCTGACAGGCCCTCCTTCACCCTCAGACAGGCCAATCTATGTACACAGCATCGCAGACACCACACAACCCATCTCAGTCGCCACACAACCCATTTGTCATGTCAAACGGCCTCAGGGAGACGTGGCAGCCAAGTTACAGAGGTGACTGTATCAAAGTGACCCCTATGCAATGGTCATAAATTGCTTGCAGCATGAGGACTATATCCTTGTTCCCAGCTGAAACTGAAAGAAGAATGAAAGGACATCAGCTTCTGAGTCGAATACTTCATTCAGACATGATCTGAGAAGTTTCAGGTAATTTTTTTCTAACCTTGTTGCTCAGTTGAAGTACTGCTTTAATTTTCATCAAATACCATTTCAGTTGTTTAAGCTGTTTCTTCTGTCTGTTTGGTGGAAGGGTTTGACCGTTCCTTTGGCCACACAGAAGATTTCACCACAGTGGTGCCCCCGCTTGTGCTGCAACCCCTTTTTACCTAACTCAATGTTGTAGCGAGAGGGGTTGAATGAATGGAGTTCAGTGCTGTGAGCTTTGTGGCTTTGTTCTCTGTGGTAACCTTGAGAGCACAACCTTGTTGTGTTTGCTAATCTGACCGTGTCCTGGTTTTATTTTACAGGCCTTTGTCTGCAGGATTATGCTGCCTTGTCACCAAAACTTCCCAAGTAACACTAAGTCTGAAGCTGGCCAAAGCACAGGAAAGGTCTGGGCAACAACTTCGGTTAKCAACTTTCCCACAATCTACTAAGTGCACTAATTCAAACCATTTTACCACATTTTTGTTTTTGTGACAATAGAAATCTCCAGAGATTGTAGGTTTAAAAAAAAGCACATTTTGATTTCATGGAAAAATATTACCGTGGACGGCAGTGGATAAGAATTAAAATCAAGGGTATCAAAATAAGAGAAAATCATTAAAGTAACCAGTTCTGCAGCTAACCTCTGTAACTGTTGAGGTGTTGTCTACAAAACAGAAACAGTCCAACTAACACCCCTACAGACAGCACTGCTCAGACATTCAAGACATTCTGCATTGACGCATCACAAACTTTACGTTGCAGCGAAAGTGTAAAAAAAAGCACAAAAAGAAATTAAAACCTCAGTTTCAACGAGTGTGTAGTGTATGGTGCAACATCATGTACTCCTGTGACCATGGGCGTAACAACCATAGGTACGGGGTGGGACATGCCTGGTGGGGAGGAACCACTGTTCCTTATGGGGGGAAAAGCCCGGTCCCCGTTGCGGAAAATACTGTTGGTGGGTCAGGGTTAGGCTGTAGAAATGACCGGTAAATGAATGGAAGTCAATGCAAAGTCCCCATGAGAATAGAAGAACAAACTCGTGTGTGTGCTGCACCACTCCGCTCTGTGGGATCGTCAGTGAACTAACAGAAGTTCATCATCAGTTTTGATCCGAGTCTTTTTCCATCCTATTGTTCCCGTACTAACTGTGCCCATCGGACTGGCCCATTAACGATGCGGCCCAGCGAGAATCGTCCCGATTCTCCCGATTACCCATTCCGCCCTTGGTCTTCTTCATCATCATCTTTTTCACCAGTAGAAACAGCCTGTCATTGATCGCGTGACTCCTGTGATGCGAAAAAAAGTGTTTTCATTGCAATTTTGCGAAAGACACCAATTTTGATACGGCAGCAAAACTACCTCACCCTAGCGCAAAAACATTTTGTCGAAAAAAATAAGTTTTTTTTAATTGACGTGTTTGCATTGAGCAAATTTATTTTCGAAGTTCTAATTTGCGCAAATGCAGCTTGTGACCCTGCTGAAGATTCTCGTCACATCTCCTCTGACCACAGCTGAATCTGAGAAAAGCTTCTCAACACTGAAAAAATCCAGACTTTCCTCAGGTACATCACATCACTGCACTGACCATGCTGTATTGAGAAGAATCTTGTTGAAACATCCCTGACTTTAAACAGAGTCATGAAGAAATTTGCTTCTCGGTAACAGAAGAGCAAAAATTTATGGACAAAAAATAAAAACTACATGATATTGAAATGCTGTTTTATTCTTTTCATTTGTTTAATAAATACACTGGCGTGAAGCAAATTAGTAAGTTTGATTGCTTTTGAGACATGTCTATTTTGGAGTTGTAGCCCCCCCTGGAGAAAAATCCACCAGCCGCCACTGCTTTGAGTCACAGCATATCCACCTTGAACACAGTTAATGTATTGAAACTTCTATCCATAGATTTATTTTCAGTCACATGACCTCTCTACCCTGATGGACAAAACACTGTGGTGAGCAATTTCTGCTGTCTTTAGTCAAGACTACTTTGTTAACCTATGTGGGAAAGACAAATGATGACATGAGGAAAAATACTGATGTTGTGGACTTCTTCTGCCCCTGCAACTTGTTTTTAAACATCTCTGCACGTGGCGACATCTTAGAGCTCCAGTTCAGTGAGTTTTCAGTGACTTTCGAAAGTCCAACTGGCTACAATGTTTTCAATCTGGATAGATAAATAATGCCTAAGAACCAGGAGAAAGTCATCATTCTAGTCAAGGTAAGAACATTGGGCCTCATGCAAAAACCGTTGGTACGCAGAGATGTGTTCTTAAGTTGTGCGTACGAGTGATTTAGGAGAATTTCTGGCATTTRTAGTGTCCAAAGAGTGGGGGGCCTCTTCTCAGGAATGCACAGATGTGATGTCTCTTATGCTGCGTTCACAATGAACGCAATTTCAGCTTCAAAATCGCAGCCAACGCTGAAGTTTGAAGCTTGTGCACTTTGAGGTCAGACGCCGGACAGCTGTTGAAGCGCTGCACGGCAAGAGCCTCCCTGCCCCTCCCTCCTCTGTYGGGCTCTGTTTAATGCTGCTCTAATCGCGCTTGAGGCGCCGCAGCATTTCCCGACGTTGCTTGAAGCGCGTCCACCATAGACTTTGTATGTAAACCTGAGGCTCCTGATGCTGAAATCGCATTCAGTGTGAACGCACCATTAGTYTCTAGCTTTAGAGCTCGGCACATATGACCATATTAGGAAGAAGAACGCTTAAGGTATACCGTGACAAGATTTATGGTACATCTGTGAAAGCCTAAAAAGAGCCTTGTACGCCCCTGCTCTTGGCCTTCGTCTTCATCTTTCATACTTGGTGAATCATTTGGCATTGAAGGCCACAATTTGGTTTTTGGCTGTAATCTCCACGACTGCAAAAATAAAGATTCTTGCTGTTCAACCAGCCTGTTTTCAGTCTTCTCTTCATTGAAGCAACAGCAGTTCCACTTCAACCCAGAAGACGTGGTTATTTTCTACACCTCACATTCACCAACGTTTTCGTATTCTATTATTCTTTTCAGATACGAACAAAATTCACGAGTGGTCCAGACCTGTCGTATATTTTACAAGCAGTCAGTCTGCTGTTATCCAGATGCATTTTTCTCACTAATAACTTTCTATTTCATTAGTTTGAAGATATTTTGAGTTGAAAATAAATCACACTCCATAATTATGTTGACAATAGGCTATTCTGCTTGAACTGGAAGTACATTTTAAATGTAACTAACGACATAAATTGGTTAGATTAAATTAAATTGGCTATTAATGCTGTTGTATAACACTACAATATTAATATGAAGAACTCAAACTATAAACCAAATTAAATTATGCATTAATTGAAGTTTGGAGACATTTTAAAATGCGTCTTTTCAGAAACGCGTTTGACACGTGTGACGGCCGGGAGGGGGGAGACGGCCGTGTGTGTGTGTGTGTGTGTGTGTGTGNCACACACACACACACTTTTTTCAGCCGAAGCAGAAAAAAGACCTTTAAAAATATATCCCCCCACTTTTAAGATGGTGATTACAACCTTGACCCTCCTCTGTTTATACACCCCCCCCCCCATGCACACAGGAAGTCATATTTATCCACTTTATCCACTGTCCTTACTGCGGCCACAAGGGGGCAGCACGCTCACTGACTAAGTCCTGCTGACTGACTGTCTAAAATCAAGCACAAGCAATAAAATAATAAAAATGAACACCATTTATCTTTACCTAAGTACCTATAAAGGAAGAAACAGTGAAAGATTCACATACTTATTGAGGTAGGAGGTTCTGAATAAAATTGTGTGATCTTTAAAAAGTGCCTGATAAAGTCTCAGGACTCGGACTGACCCTCACATAAAGGAGAAAATTTAAACATTACAAAATTGATGAACTGGGTCCATCTACATGTTGATTTGAGGTTACTAAAAGAGGCAGTATTTTTTTGTTGTTGTTGGTTAAATGTCCAGCTTTTGCATCTGAACACCTAGTTGAAGTTAAAACACTACAATTTTCTGCTTCTGAGTTGCAATGAATGCAAATAAGGAGGAGTAGATGGCTCATAGTGACTCAGCAGATCATTCTTCCAAACTTCTAATGCACTCAGGCAAAATTATTCATTTATAATCTTCCACTTATTATCTGCTGCTTGCTCTGGGAGGCACAGAAATCTCTTCCAGGAGGATTTATAATATTGAGATTTCCCAAACTGAACATTTAACAATTACCATGTTTTTGCACTGAATTGTGTATTTAAGAACACCCCCACCCTAAAAATAAATAATAATAATAATAATAATAAAATAAGCACAGCACATTTTATAAATATCCTTAAATTAAAATTCGAAATGTCTAATCCCCCTAGCTTTAAAGCTGGTTGTGAAACTAAATGATCAAATTTTGCAGCTTTACTAAATAATTCTGTATTGTGGTTTAGAACATGTCTCTCATTCACAGGAACAAGGATTTCCAGCTTAAAACTTTGCTAGTTTCTGCTATGATGTCTCRACAAGTAAAAGAGGAAGGCACGTGTGCTGAATAGTCAGAAGAATATGTTTAATAAAAATAATTAAACCTCAATTTCCTCTATAGAGCTTCATAGAAAGGAATCCAATAAATTACAAATAACTTTAAGACGCATTTTTCCTGCACTACATTAATTATTTTGACTACACAGACCACATTTTGCAAAAACTGTCCAATGGAAGAAAAAACAAAATCAAATACACACAACTGATCAAGGTGACATTTATCAAGCTTGAACTAAAATTACAAAAAAACCCATGTTTTCGAGTTCTGTCCTCTCAGTGATTTACACGTGGAAACTGAGACTCCCCTCCCTGTACAGCAGTAGTGTGTTTTTGTCATTCCTCTTGCATATTGGTCTCTGCTTGTTTCAAACATACTTCAGCACTGCACAAGTGCTTCGGGAGGTTTTGTACAGTAAAACTTTTCCGTCCCCGACTTTGTGTCCCGGTGAGTGAGAACAGGAAAAAAAAAAATTAAATATCGATCCACAGATCCATCGCTGAGGGGCGAGAAGCCATTAATCAAAGTCACTTACAGCAGATGAAGCAGTGGTGTTTGCATAAGGGCACTACAAGTTCAAAGAGAGCAGAGGTGCAGTTATACAAAAAAAAAAAAAAAGTATAAAGGATAGTGGCATGTTGATGTCCATTGTTCAGACATACAAAAATACCATACTGTTAGTAATAATAATCATTAAAAAAAATCGCAGTTGCATTGTAAGCCAAACCCATAATGAGGTCTATAGAGAACAGGTGTACAGGATAAACCACTTTAAAGCAACATCAGAAAGGAGATGTGTCTTTTAGTGTCTGTGTTCAGACGTCACAATTTCTCATTACACCCAGGAGAGAGAGCGAGAGAGAGAGCGAGAGAGAGAGAGAGAGAGAGAGAGAGAGAGAGAGAGAGAGAGCGAGAGAGAGAGCGAGAGAGAGATGCTACAGATACTTAGTTTGCTCAAGAATGTCTCGTCAGAAAGACCTAACAGTCCACTGTGTAACAGCAGTCCTGGAACAAGCACAGTTGTGCCAGAGTGAATTAAAAAAAGGTACTTCGGTTTGAATGTTGTCCAGTGTGTGTGTTTGTTTGTGTGTGTTTTCTGATTACAGCTTCAAAATGGACATGGGGCAGGGATGCTGAACGAAATGCACAAGCGTGGCACAGCGAGCACAGTGTGTGAGCGGCTGAATGAGTGGATGAGGCGTCGGGATAAGGGCACTTCTACGTCTAACTGAAGCTGCGTTTGACAGCAGAGCAGGGTTCGAGATCGGAGYGGAACAAAACGAGGCGATACAAGCTGAAACGATCAGGCCCTTCCTGCAGCCAAATTGAACCAACGCTAACTTTAATACTCAAATCCATACAATCCTAACCTGGACTTGGGTTGGTTGTTTGGGAGGGGTTGTGGCACAGCTAAACGTGTAACACTAAAGGTCATGCAGCACACATTCTCGACGACTTTAATGCTCTTTGAAGTTTTGGATGAGGCATGATTGAAGATAAAAGAACACTTGCAGTGAGGCTCATAAAGCCTGTTTGACCACATTCAGACGGGGGAAGAAACATTAGCCTCTCACACACAATCCAGCAGAAACAAGTGACATGAATGCAGACAGCAGGGGGAATACTCCCATTTACATGTATGTTTGCACAGTCAAGTAAATCCATTCTGCAAAATTGAGGTAAAACTGCTGTTAATTACGACTGGGCTGAAGGAATATTTACAACACTGTCGGGACCTCAAAGGATCAAAGGGCAGTTGTTTTCTTTTTTTGGCACAGTATGTTTTCTGTCACTAGCTTTTAAATCCAAACTAACAGATACACAAAGAGCTAAAATGCACATTTGTTGTGAAATGGTGAAAACCTGACTTTCTAAAAATCAACACTTCTTTCAGCTTGGGGCAATAAAACAAAAAAAATGTGATTTTGTTTAAGTGAACTTAAAATAATTCTGTTTCTAGTCCAGACAAGAACTTAAGTGTTCCAAAGAACTGAATACTTTATCCAGTGGGATGAAGGTACAGGTTTGTGAGTCTGTTAAGTGTTTGTGCACAGGAGTGGAAACATGGCAGACAAGGGAATCTACAGTTTCAGTGACATTCATTAGCTGCCCAGGTTATTGCTGACATTTCCAACATAAGATCTGCAAAGCAAAGAGTGTCAACAAACCTGTAAAAATTGTGGCTATTTACAAATAAAATTCCCCCTGCCCAAACAATCAAAATATATTAAATGTACTGCTCAACGGGCGTTAATGTAGTTTCACTTTTTATATATATATAAAATTAATCCTAACAGAATGCCTTTTTCTTTGTAATTGTACATAATCAGGAGGTACAAGTTCACATAGTTCAGAAAATCTACTAAARTCTGACATGCAGAATGTGTCAAAACAAGACTGTACCCTGTGAACAAACACAGACACTTTATTTTAATCTTTTTTTTAGTCAGTAATTCTTTGCTTTTTCTGTTTTTTTCCTTTGTTTTTCTTAGTTTTTAATATTAAAGTCTTTATTACACAACATTGTAGTTAGTTCTTTTATTTACATGTAAAGAAATCGCAACACAGGTGCTGGAAATTCCATATATATATGTGAATAAATGTTTACATTTCTAGGTGATACATAAATAAATTTTTTTTAACTTTATATTCAAAAAGTTTAGTCTTCATCACTAGAGTCTGAATCATCAGAGGATGAGGAAGAGCTCCCAGACCCTGATGAAGACGACTCAGCTTTCAATGAACTTTCAGGACCACTGTTTTCTTTTTGATCTGCCGTTTCCTCCTCCTCCTCCTCCTCCTCCTCTTCTTCTTCGTCATCGTCATCGTCATCTAAAGCCTCCTCCTCTGGCACCTTGCCCTCCTCCTCCTCTCCGTCTCTTTGTGCCTGAGGCAGCTCGGTCTCTTTTGCTGATGACAGGGAGGTTGCAGAGGGAGGAGCAGCAGGAGGAAGGCTGGAAGGGTCATCGTTTGAGCTCTGAGGCTGTGAGGCAGACACAGGAAGGTTAAGGCCTGGAGTGAGAAGCATCCCTGGGTAAAGCATACCGGAGAGTAACAAGGGGTTAAGAGGAACTGGGTGACTGGAGGCTGCGGAGGCAGCTGAAGCACTTTGTGTGGTGGTGGCAGAGGAAGCACAGCTGGACGTGGAGGAAGGAGTCGTGTTTGAGCCCTCGGTCCTTTCTCCTTTGGTGTCTGAAGTGTGAGAGGGGGCACTAGACTGCTCTCCTGTTCCCTTCGTCCTTTCTTCAGAGCCTCCTGCACCTTCCTGAGCCGGCTTCCCGAGCAAGCTGCTCATACCGAGCAGGTTTGGCAATCCAGCCATACCAGAGAGCATCATGGGAAACATAGCGGCTAAGTTACTGGCAGCCAGGTTGCTGGCATCGGATGGGAGTCCCATCAGGTTTGCGGTGAGCTGCAGGGACTGCAAGCTCTGCAGGTTTTGCTGGAAGGCCTGCAGACTGGTGAGGTCCATCCCAGAGAGGAGGCCGTTGTTCAGGAGGGGATTCAAACCCAGAGCAGAGGCCGATGGGTTGGGCGTTGCTGCTGCCGCCTTTGCCAGAGGATTCTTTGGTCGACGTCCTCGCCGACTCACCTCCTCAGGAACGATGGGTCCTGTTAGGATCCGGTCAAACATGCTCTCTGGGAGGTAACCCTGGATAAAATACAAAATGTGAAGGTTTAGCAGATAGCAGGCACAGGTTGGCTTTATCTGTGTCAAACACAAGGCCTTCCGTTTGACCGGAAAAATTTAGTTGACTAGCCCTGTATTAATATTCTATTGTAAGCATCACTGTATAACTCACAATGGARTATTAGGGCCAAAAATATATATTTTTACCTTTTTTTTTATTATGAGAATAATGTCTAATATTATGACATTAAAGTTGTAACATTATGAGAATAAAGTCGTATGAAAATAAAGTCATGAGATTAAAGTCATCATTTTTAAAGGCATTTTTATTCAGACAGGCTTTTAGTTAAATGTCGTTTGCTGTTTTTTAATTGTTCTTCGTGACATGTTTTTATTGTTTTTAGTTATTTTTCTCTCTGTTAAGCAATTTGTGATGTTTGTGTCTGTGAAAGGTGCTATATAAATAAAGTTTACTTACTTAGTTGTAATATTACAAAATTAAAATCCTAATATTATGATAAAAATCCTAATATTCTGAAATTAAAGTCGTAATTTTAAAGTCATACTATAGAGTTTACACAAAAAAGCAGTCTTACCACTGCATTAAAATGAGGAATGTTGAGCAACTTATGAAGTTGTTCTTTAGTACTTGGTAAAATAAATAGGCCACTTAATCTTTTTAGCACATTAAATTATCAGTAGCAGGACTTTGAAACGATTGTAAAAACAACTATATGATAAACTGAATTGTAGCGTAATTAATGGCTAACTAACACTAACAGTGACCCAAAAGTCATCGCACACTACTTCACAAACACAGACACGCAACCTATAAAAAAAAACAGGCTTTATTTTTAGTTTAAAATATAACTCTTTTTGAATCTCCCATTCAATAAACTCAAAGGTGGATCTACATCAGCAATGAGTGAAATTACTTTTCCCATTAAATCAATGTTTAGTTTTTCACACACGACAGAGACTCACCGATTGTTTAACTACATCAGCCCATTCAGGCGGGACTCCGTATTCTGGGTTTTCTTGAAGAAATCGACACAGATCTTTGAGAGGAGGAGCAAAGGCTCCACCGACCTACAGAAGATAAAAACAGATCAGGTGAACTTGGGGTAAATGGTAAAAGTGTAAGGTCAGAATAAATTACAATATTTATTTTAAAGCGTTCTTTAAGGCAGAAGTTTAATATTTGTTTACAAACAGCTATAACAAAGTTGAAAATAATAACAATAAAATTATAAAAGACACAACTAAGTCTGATTCAAACCCACCTTGCGGGCATTTCTCCTGTTAATTATCTGGACCCTCTCCTCTCCGGTCAGACTGTTGACATCGATTTTGTTTGGGTTCCTGCAGCGATGCCTTTTCTGCTTGGGTCGCCCATCCTGGAAGTGGAACTGCATCTGCATTTTATTTACACCCTAAAGAATAAATAAATAAATAAATAAATAAATAAATAAATAAATAAATAAATAAATAAATAAAGTTTCAATAACCATCATCAATCTGTGCCACCTAAAAGGAGGAAAGTCAAATAATACTTACAGGGATAAAAGCTCCTGTGTCTGCCACAAAGCCAGGGTGCTCCTTCAGCCACAGTTCCAGGTCTTTCCTCATGGGGGCGTCATCCCCTGCGAGTCGGGTGCCATCTTTCAGGTTGATAACAGGGACCCTGGTCTCTGTGTCTGCAGAGACCTGACTCGAGCTCTGACTGGATCCTGGCACAGCAGCTGCAGCTAAGCCCACCTGGCCAATGCCCCCCCATCCTGAGGCCACCTAAGGAGACATTACAACGGGATTTGTTTTTAGGTTATAACTTATCATAAATGGTATGCTTAAAAAATGTCAGCACAATTTAAGATTTCAAGGTTGATAACTAGGATGAATATTACAATAAAAATGAATAAAAAAGTAACATAATAATAATAACCTGATTGGGAACAGTAGGAACTTGATTCCTGTTCATGAAGAGCAGGTCCATTCCTTCCACATTTTTTCTTCTGCCTCTTCGCTTTTTGACCAGGGGCTGACCATCCAGAGCTCCGTTCAGCCTCATCTCATCAGTAAGGGCTGGAGGAGCTGGAGGAGAAGCAGCAGTTAGTTTAAAACTAGTGTATCATGCATACAAGAAATCTCAAAGTAAACACTATTGCTTTAAGATAATTCAGAAATTTTGCAATTCTCCAGTAACTGTGTGAAGATTAGACAAAACTCCAAAAATAAAAACAGACTTTTACATACAAAATGTAGGTGAGCGTACCAAAGACACACATGTTAACAGATGTCTATGCTAACAAAAAGATGCTTTGCTGCCATCTAGTGGTTGGAAATAAAACAAACCAGGACACTATGGATCAGCAGACATTTTGTCTGATGGTGTTTTGGATTCAAACCCACCAGTCTGGTAGCTGCTCTGAGGCTTGGTGATGTCAGCCAGGCCTGTGTCTGATGCGCTCTGCAGCTCTCGAAGGCGAGCCAGATACTGCTGCTGGGCCTGGGGGCCTTCCTCCGATTCCAGGGGTCTCTTCATAGGTAGACCCTGTTTCTGGAAGGTCAGCTTCAGACCTCCCTCCTGCTATATGCACAGACACAAGAGTGTGAGACAATCTGAGGAAAGGAACTGCGTGCCAAAGAGCTGTTCCTGAGACAGTTTTATTTCTAAGCTTTTTGATTTAGATTAACACAAAAAAATGTAGACTTCAAATTCAACTGTCCCTTAGATTTAATTATTAGAAAACCTGTTTTGTTTTTTGGTGTTAAAACCTTCCTTACTTTATATTTAAAAAATACTCTGACTTGTGCTGTCAAGTCCACTCATAAATATCAAACAATAACAGAAACAGCTCAGGTTGTTTGTTAGTATTACTGAGACATGGACACACAGTGGGCAGTGCTTAGAAGGGCTAAAGTGGGTAAAGTATTTTCAAAGTTTGGTCCGTGCTTAAAAGCCATGCCAAAGATATAGCTGCTCAGCATTTATGAAAAAGTTCCAAACTAGGGCTGAGAATAGGTAAGTGTTTGCAGGTCTGAGATAGTAAAATCCAACAATTCTGGATCTTTATCAAAAAGCAGCAAAGTCAGAGAATACAAAGAAGCAAATCTGAATCCTGCTGCGTTAATAGCCATGTTGTAAACAAGCATATTAGAAAACACCCACAGCAGAGGCCTCCATTTCAATTAAATTACTAGCAAGACCCCTTCAGTCTAGAGAGGCTTCAAACAGAACCTTATCATATTCTCATGACTGAATGATTTGTGTTCATGTAATCACAGCCTGAGAGCCCAATTCAAATTGAGTGTGTGGGAAAAGAGAGGAAGGCTGTTATTAAATTAATCTCTCCTCCTGCCAGCCAGTCCAAACCGCTAATCATCCCCAAAGGAAAGCAGGCCGGAGACCAGAGAAACATGCTGAACATGGCAGCTAACACCGCTCATGGCAGCAGAAGTGAGAGGGTCCTACGGTTAGGGCTGAAGCGGAGGAAGGAAGTGGGAGGAAGGGAGAAATCAACATACATCGTTGAGTTTTACTGAGAACTCCTTGTTTTCTGCAACATGCTTGGTCACCTTTGACCCCTGTGGTGAAGCAGAGGGGTCCTCGCTCAGGCTGTTGGCGTTGTCTAGCAGCTTGGTGGTGTAGAAGGAGGCCACTGCGCCTCCGGGCTCATAGAACCGACGTGGGCTGGGCCACTTGCCCTTGAGCACTGCCTGGCAGATGCTGTCCAGCCTGTTTATAATCACACGATCCTGAAAACAAAACAAAACAAAAAAACTTGCAGCTAAACCTAACATTTTGCTCACAAACATGCTTTAGTTTGAATTATTATTTTTATGATTCACACATTTCTAAAATTTAATACAGCATTGGCACTTTTGACCAGATTTCTGCGATATCACTACTTTTAAAAATGAGTTTGGAAACTATTTTAAATCCTGTAGTGTTTGTAAGAATGCCTGGTCTGCAAACAGTCATTTACCTTCGGCCAGTAAGATGCAGCCAGCATGTACCCTCCTCCCTGGAAAGGATGGGAGGAGTTGTTGGCGACACCGTTCTCAGCCACATGGGGGTCTTGTGTTTCATCTTGTGTAGTGCTTAAAGAGGCAACACTGTCCTCATCGAAGCCCTTCACACTCGTTGCTGCAGGCACTGTGAACAGATTCAGATGTTAAACACACGGAACGCACTGCAGTTGCTCTGAGTCAAATGCTAGCTAGCTCGTCGCAGCATTAAACTAAATATTTAAAACAGTTTTTTTTGTTTCTGTAGTGAAGAGTCTGGTCACTCACCGTTCTTCTTTGCTTCCTCTCCCTCACTTTCACTGTCATCAGATGAGGATGAGGAGGATGACGACGAGGATGAGGAGCCAGAAGAACAAGACGAGGATGAGGATGAGGAGCTGGACCCGGAATGTGATGATGAAGATGAAGAGGACGACGAGGATGAAGAGGAGCGCGATGAAGAGCTCGACGAGGAGCCGTCTGATTCGGTCTCGGAGCCCCGCCTGGCCTCCCTGCGGCCTCTCTTGCTGGCCTTCTTGGGTTTCCTCTCAGTGGAGATGGGCGTGAGCGGTTTGGTCCGCGCCGCCACCATCTGCCTCTCGCTGTCGCTCGCCATGGAAACGGGCTTTTCTCCCAGACCTGTGGGAGTCGCTGGCGGGTGAGAAGGGCTCCAACTCTCCCTTTGCCTTTCTTTGCCCTCCTCTTCCTCCTCTGAGGCTGGCTCCACTTTGGGCACAAGCCCACAGGGGTCTGCGTCTCTCTGAGCGGGTGGGGGGACCACAGAGCCGGCCATCAACGAGGAAGCAGCCTGGTACTGAGGGTGCAAGAGGGGCGCACTTGTGCGAGGTTGCTGGGGTGCAGCTTTCATTTGGCTGTAGTTGCGTTGTGAAGTCATGAAGCTGAGCTCAGGATCTCTCAGAATGTGGTAATCGGTCCGACTGACGCCGTGCTTTGCGGCACCGATTAGCAGGTCCCGGTCATGAGTACCGACCTCCCACCACACAGGCAAGTCCGAGCTCATCTGGCACAGCCTGAGGCGCTCGTAGAGTAACGGGTGTCTGAGCACTTGTTCCCTCACCTGGCGAAGCAACTCTACCCTGTACAGGGTACGAGATGCTCGCTCCTCTGTGATTGGCTGGATGTTGAGAGACGGATCCACTGCGGAGTCTGGAACAAAACACACACACACACAAAAGAGGTATGTGAAGAATAGGGATGGGTACTGAATTCAAAACTTTAAGTACCGACCGAATTCTGTCGGTACTACCGAGAACCTATTCATGTASCATCAAACGGTACCATGTTTCAGTATCTAAATGCTTCATTGCAACCATATTGGCGTTAGAGTGGGAGATTTTCCATGCTTGTCCTGAACGCATCGCACAAGAGCATAATGACGTCAGCAGCCACTGGTTCAGTAAACAGAACTCAGAACGTAGCTTGAAAGCCTCGCAGCTCCTAAACTCGCCAAACAGACCACCTCTGAATTATCTGGTGGATTAATTATCTTGTGAACACAACGTTTGCTTGCTCAAAGTAAATAAAGTACCACCACTTTCTTTATTTCATTCACCATTAAACAGAGACCAGCAAAGGAAAACAACACAGGCGCTTTCTGACAGTCCGAACACGTCTGACCTAAAGAGCACAAGCAGCCAACTTGAAGTGTTGGATGCGTTTTGGATGCTCAAAACGTAGCTTGAATACCTTTTATTTATTTAACTCTATCCTCTTTTGCTTATTTGATTTAAACTTATTTGCCTTCCATGGACCTCCATCACACAATTTTTCTAGTGGGGAAATGACATCAATAGAAACACGTGGAGCTTTTAATTTGTGCAATAAGACAAAMCAGTCTTGTTGTTTTCAAGAGTTTTCACCTTAAAGCAATTAGTTAAACAACTGATGTTACAATAAGGAGTTAGATGTTGTCTTGATATTTGTTAAATTTTATATATTGMGAAATATGTTAAACAAAAAAAAAGTTTATTATTAAAAAATCAACACACACCAAGCACCGAAAATTGTTACCTAATCGATTCAAATGTCAAAGGTACCCATCCCTAGTTAGGAAATGAGAGCTTCTCTACAGGTAAGACTTCTATGAGCCTGGAGCATGAACATCTGAGTTTGTCTGTTCGCTAATGATTAACTTTATCAGTCCTTGGACAACTTGTTTACTGCAGAGTCACGACTGCTCTCCAAAACAAACCCACACACATAGGAAAAGATGTGAACAAACTGAAGCAGGCATTTTACACATTAAATTATTTGTTCATTAAAAGAAAAACTAAGAGCTGAAAAACTTCCTGGAGTTACATGAAAAGCCAACTGGCTTCATGTACATGTGTTTATACACTCACCGGCCACTTTATTAGGTACACCACGCTAGTAACAGGTTGGACCCCTTTTTGCCTTCAGAACTGCCTCAATTCTTCGTGGCATAGATTCAACAAGGTGCTGGAAGCATTCCTC